ATTAGGACGCCGTTGGTTGATTCTTAAATGGCGTGCTCGTGATTTTAATTGTTTTAGTTATTGCATTTCATAGTATTCAGTTTCAACGAGCCATATCTGCAAGTCCCGGAGTAATGAAGCCGTTATTTTATGTATATTTCGTATGCAAAACATTATTTTTAGAACCCTGATAAAATTGTATAATACTATTATGATACACGTGAGTGTAAATTATTATTCATAGACGAGAACTGCGTGTACACTGTACAACAACAATATTACGAGCGGCGTGCAAACATCTCGCAGCGATATAGGCCGTCTTGACTACACAATATAAACCTCTATACATCTATACATCGTAACTGTATTACCCTGCACTACTATACATTGAGTCACTCAGTCACTGGAAAGCATTCTCCACGTTTCTATGCTAAGTGTGCAATACATTCTTGTCTATTAGTATAAGGTCCTATGATATTAATAAATCACAATCACAGATCAATAATTATATATGTTATATTGATCTATGATCTCATATAAATGTATAATATATATCATAACATTCATAACTATATAAACCATAGATATTATACAATAGATAGGTCCTTAGATCATATACACTGGATAGAGCTGTAGCGTATATCACGCGTAGTCCGTGTTTGAAGCAGACCTGTCATGCCCGAAGTACTTATTGCGCATGCGTGAGAAATGACATAGATTGCGCGGGACGGGGAAATAGATCGCGCGGGACGGGGAAGGAACAATAATGTGTTATAGTGATAAGGATGACAAGGTACTGAATGCATAGATCATATACATTGCTCATGCGCAGTGATGACTTCGGGCACGAACAGCTATGCTTCAAGATTTTAAATCATAGCTCTATCCAGTGTATATGATCTAAGGATAGGTCACTTGTAATTATCACAGAACATGGAAATAATGCCTTATCACAAATATATTTATGTATAGCACGAAGTATATCATAGTTCGTGATGTATAGTTATCTATAATCTATTTATGTTATGATAAGACCTTAGGAATGAGAGGCAATGATAATGAAAATAGTCTTTTGCTCTTCCCTCTATATTATACATTGTTAATAAAGTCATTACCTATTCATTCTTTAATATCTATTAAATAAACTGTCTACCGTCAGAATAACTTATTTTCCATATCACTGAGCAGGTGCCTCAGACTTGGAATAAACGGTAATTAATTGGAATATTTAGCATAGAAGAGAAGCAGCAGTCAAACAGCTGATCATGGTTACATTATTCTGATGTTGTAAACGTTTATTTGAATAAACATATTAATATTCTAAAGTATTCCTTTTAAGGTTATTTAGTCATGGTAGGTAAATTACATTAAAATGTTAATCAACACACTTATAAAGTTATAAATAGAGAATCTAATAGGTATTTATTATTTCCCATATTAAGACCCGAGAATAGATGACAATTTTTTTGTTTTTTTCATTGTAATATTTTTTTTTCTACTAAATTTTATCTATTATTGGTGAAATTGTTTTTTTTCGTTTGTTGTCGTGCAGCACCCAGATATTATTATTACAACATGAAACTGCAATCGTGCTCACTGTGTAAGTGTAATATAGTAAAATGTATCTCAATAGTACCTATAATATTATTATGGAATACGTTGCCAAAAGGAAATATTAAATCAACAAGAATTGTATTGTTTAGTCTGTGAACATACATTTTGTTAATCTTGAACTTAATGCGACACAAATTGACTTTTATTAAAATATCATAGTATTAAGCATATACAATTTTATCGTTGACGCGTCTAATGAGATTAAAATTAATTTAACATTCTAATATAAAATAAATATATTTTAAATAGAACGTGGATGGTTCTCAAAATTGAGATAGTTTGAAATCTTGGCATTCATACTTTGTAGGTAATGTATAATACATTGTAGTCCCTATTTCCCTAATATACATCCAGACAATGGTCCGCGTTCGAATTTGTTAATTGAATTGAAATATTAAACATTTCAAATAAGAAAATATGTATTTACGTACTACCAACTAGTTTTTATTATAAATGGTACTATGTAACAGGAGTATGCAAAATATATATTTAAGGTTATTGTTATATTTTCTATTCAAGTTATCGTACCTAGTCCTAGACCGGTTATCATTAATTTATTATATTTTTACAAAACTATGAAGTATAATGTATGCACTAAACAATTGGTAAATATGCTCTAAAAGTATTAAAAGATATACAATTATGCAGAGTAAAATAAAAAAAGTTAACAGATATGTGAAAATGGCTTGAAAGAGAATAATCAAATAATATGTCAGTATGCATAAAATATTAAAATATTGTATGAAAAAATATAAACTAAAAATAAAAAAATAGATGAGATTTATAAGAAACAAAACGATGTTTTGAAAGAATCTATGCGAAGTAAACATTCTATTTTTGAATATCATAAATATTCAAACATTATATAGTAATAAAGTTCCATAAAATTAAGTCGTCATTGTTTTTTCTCAAGTATATGTAATTTAAAAAAGAAATTAAATTACATGTATATGTATTATTTTACATACACTAACATTTAAATGTACAAATTACAATTTTGTGTTCAGAATGATTAAATAATAATGGAATATAATTTGTAATTCAATTATTTTAAATTTAATACGAAATTCATCGATGTTAAATTCTCATCCCTTGTTAAAATGTAAGTGTATTTGTATAATAATACAGTAAGTAATCTGGTAATGCAAAATTAAATGACTAATTCTTTAAAATATTTTTTTTCATTTGTATAGCCATTTAATTTTAGTATTTATTTTATGAATGACAATGACTAACGGAAATGACCTTAGGCTATATAGTTTTGGTTATTTCACCAACTATCATTAATTAATTTGACTAGATATCACATTTTTTACTAACTTCGAGCAAGCAGGTACAGCAATTGACGAGCCTTTTATTTGTTAAAAACTTTTAGGCCTCTGGCATAATCATATTTAGTTTTTCTCATATTATTATTCATTATCCATGTGACATAATAATATAATAAATTACTTTTTGTTTTTTATGTATACGACCTCTATCAATCATAGGACATGACAATTTGGTATCAATATAAAATAATAATAATAATAATATAAATGAACAAATAAAATTATTCTCCATAAAATATAATAATTGACTGTCGTTTATTAAGAAATTACGATTATATAGAGGGATGTATAATGAAAGAGGGTGTACTTGTACGGTTATTTTGCTCATAATATAATTTATATATATACACAATATGTATAGTATCCCGGGAAAAGGCCTGGGGAAATGAAAGTAGAGTGTGTTTGGGACGTCGGAGCCCACGAGAGGAACAATTGTTTTTATTATGATTTGGGAACTATATACGTCCTTTTCATGCCCAACACGGCGCTGGTTTTGGGAGCTAATTTCTCTAGAGTTTATATTTTAGCATATTACACCCAAAAGAGCCAAACTTAAAATAACCGCCAACTGACCGAAGAATACTAATGGTTCTGCTTTATCGAATTCAAAACGTTAAAAATCAAACTGACTGTGCGGCGTACACGCGAACTGAAATTATTTCGAAGCAGTCTGTCGTGTGTGTAGCTGATTAATTGCGAAAGTTTACTATGGGATGGAAGACATTGTTGAAGTATAGTTTTACTGGAATGTCAACCATATTTAGACTTATGTGATTTTGAATATATTCCTCCCGAACACTATCTCTCGTGAAGTATTAGTGTCGTAAAAACACAATTCTCATTTAAATGATTTATTGTTCTGGTCGGAAACTAGACCTGATTACACTTGATATTAATTTTAGTTTGTTGTTTGCATTGTATCTATTTCACCAATATCGTCGATTTACTCTGTATATATCTTTGTTGTTGTGTCTTTGAACTATTAGTCGATGTATACATTATATTATTATTACTATTTTTTTTTTTTTTTTGATAATTTATATTTATTTTATCGGTAGAGACTAGAGAGTAAGTATATTATTCATCATAGCAAATCGTATTATAATATTTAGCCGTCATAAATGTTCTATTAAAAGCACATGTTCGACACTAAATATAATTTATATTTATGTATACAATTGTTCTTTTGATATTAATACGATTTACGATTGTTATTATTTTTTTTTTTTAACGTTAATTATATTGTTCTGAGTTAATATAATATTCAGCCCTATTATATGGTTATACTTAAGCAATTATATTATACCTATACAGATATACTTATGTAATTATATTTAAATATTTGATAAAATATGATGACAATATAGAAATAATAATGGCCATAAAGTCTTTCAAAAATGTATTTTATTGCAACACAACAATACTGTTAGAGTTGAAGCAAGAAATATTTTGTCGCACGTGCATTTTCATACAGCGGTGAAACTTTCAAATGCTTTACGATCATGGTATGCGTGCGAATGATAGAGAGGGAGTTTACAGTTTTAATAACAAAGGTCTCAAAGTTATATTTCATGCAATTAAAACTGAGTTGATTCTCAATAAACTTTCGTTTATAACTAAACACTCGCGTTCATTAACGAAAATTACTGAACGTCTTTATCAAGTAATAGCGTTTAAATGAAAAACCATATATCTGAAGGAATATTCGCAGAAGCTATTGAGTATTCAACAGGTATTGTATGGCATTGTAAACACGATCTGAAAAACAAACTTAATTTAAATCAAATGAACAAATGAGTGATAATTACATCTATATTCAGTGCATTGAGGCATGAGTACATTTATATGCTCATTTTGTTTAACATCAAACATGATATTACTATATGTTATTTTTCAATTCTTATTTAAATTATATTTAGTATGATATACGTATATTATGTAATTTTTTTTAGGTAAATCTATAGTTAAATGTAACGATCAGTGACAAATTTATTTTATATATTATTGATACATATGGTTAACAATATTCTTTCATTCTTAGTAATGTATGATTTTTGTTCTGTTTCTTTTTTATAGATATGTTTGAAAATCATCGGGTTGTATTGGTTCATTGGGTATAGAAATACGTTGCAATTAAAACTATAACTGAAGCGACGTGAAATGGTACTCAGGTGATGGACAAACACCTCGCTATGATTCCATTTGCACTCTCCAGCAAGTCGGTCTATTATTGGCTGTGCTGTTTTCTCACAGTCACCATAGTACGACCATCACACACAAGTAAGTCGTTAGTTTTTAATAATAATATAATATAAAGCATATTTCTGTTAACGTATCCATTTGGTATGAAATCTTTAAGCTTCTGTTTGAATTTTAAAATAATAAGTTTATTATAATATTATTCTTATTTGTTTATTTTTAATCTACGGTTAGGTTTCTTATTTCGCTTACTACTGTTGTTGAATTTTGAGTTTCTGTATAATGCTATACGCCATTATAAAACAAGTGTTTTAAAATTTAAAAAAAAACTTAAAATATGTACATTGTACATAACATTATAATGGAGTAATATATAAGCAACAAACAAATAAAACAGTTGTTAAAAAAAAGAAAAAAAGTACTTTCTTAATATTTATCATTAACATTTTTCTTAATTAATATTATATTTCATCCTTAATGGAGAAGAAAGGATCTTGGTAATTAAAAGTAGCTTTTAACGTTTTAACGTTCGGTGGTTAAAAAGATATACGTATAAATTGTTTTTAAGGCCGGAAACACTCGGCGGGAGAGACGAGCAACGTCATTTGTGTCAGGAGGATGTCCGTTACAAAGACATTATATTATAAATAACGGGATTTAATTTCGCCCCGCCCATCATACCTTTCATTATGCTAATGTTCTAACGGCTCACGGAGATTATGAAAATATATCTCGAGCAGGAGGTATAAAACCGCAAGCAACGATTCCCGAATTATATTGACACGGCTGTCTGTATAGGCAAACAGAGTACACGAGTTCACAGCTACGGCTTTTTATCGTGCTTCACAATATTATAAATGCAATAAAAAACTGTTTGTTTCAGTCTTCAATTGAACTTAAATAGCCTATTTATGTTTGATTACTCTGCCTAACCTAATAATTCTGTTCTTTTCTTATCATAATAATTTTCGTTATTTTTGAACATTTGAACATTCTTATCCTGATGAGAATTAGGAATATTCTCCATCTAAATTAGTTTAATACAAATCACATTTATTTTAAATTCAAGCAGGGACAATACGCGTTAACGATAGTGATAAGAATAATATTCAAAATTCAGAAAATATTTTAGGGTTTTTTCTTTGCATATAATTAGAAAACCCGATTTTCAGGGTGACAAAACATATAATAGAAGTACTTCTTGTATAACGTTATATTCCTAGTTACTATATTATAATATAAAGACTTCGTTTTCATTCTATTGATTTGCCATTTATTCTAAAATAGTCTTACTGCATGATATTTATGTACTAATCCATAGTAAAGTCTAAACAATATTACTTTCCGAAAGCATAATTCAGTAAAAATAACTAATAAGTATGTTATTAAATGATAAATAAATATATGTTTTAATTGTTTAAAAAGTGGTAAATAATTGTTATAATGATATATTCCACTAGATGGAAATGTTAAATCTGTATAGTGTATTTTTAATTTAAAAATATTAATTTCAGCATTTTAAAATTTATGTAAAGAGCTGATTATGGTGTAAAATTTGTGATATATATTTTACTTTAAAATATGAATTTGTTTATTTTTTAATTAATGAACATTTCTATTTCCTAAGGCTAGATTAAGATAAGATTAAAAACTAATAAATTGTTTGAAATTAAGTTTGAATATTTATGAATTCAATTTTCTAAAATTAAAAATAAGATTATCATTATCATAATATGTTTTTATATAAGCTCCAATTTTTTTTTTTTAGAAGAAGAAGAAACTAATAATGAATTCATGACAATATAAACTGTTCATTTGATGATTTACTTTTTTTACAATATCGGAATTTTACAATACTAACAAACCTAAATTGGAATCTACGACTTATTTCAAATCAATAGACATGCTATATGAAGCTTTTAGAGCACTTTTAGTACCTTAAAAAGAGGTTTCTGAAATAAAACATTATTGCTTAACCAATAGCTTTCTGGTTTCACTGAGAGTTTAATATATTGTCTTCATTTCATTGAACAACCCTATATAAAAGACATTCTAATAAATATAATAGAAAAACTTTTACTCACTTTGGATTAAAAAAATAATAGTTATCATGTTATTTTCACAATATGGGTTAATTTTATTTAATAATTATAATAAAATATGTAACTTGTTCAGAAATAAATATAATTGCAATGTACAATTAGACCCCTAAATGAAAAAAAAACTTATCAAGAGTGTGTTAAAATTGATAGTGGGATCGAATAGATAAATTAAAAATAACTGCCATTGATTCAATTTCAATAGGATATAAAAATGATGTTGAGAGTTCAAACGTTTAAACTCAAATGGGCCAACGTGTTCTGGGGCTATTACATTTTTCTACTATCACAAAAATGACTACAAACTCGATTGTTCGCTTTATCGGAAAATCATTTTAACTATTTTTTTATAGCCTGTAAGGACTTTTATTCTTTCAAGCCGTAAAAGCACAACTCTTTTTTTTATTTTTAAGAAAAAGAAACCGTTTAGTTTAGTTAACGGTATCTTTTTGATCGGAGACCAGTCGCGTGGAAAACTGTTTTTCTTACTATTTTTATTTTATTCGTTCTTTTTCAATACCCCGATTCTTTATTTCCGTTTCTTTTTGGATTTACCCTTCATTCTTTATTTCACCCCAAGAGAAGACACAGCTGGGCCCTGGAGACGAGTCCACACGAGGGGTTGCTGAAACAACAGGCACGACCGCACGTAAGTTTATCGATCGGTCAAAGTTCAACCGTGTCTCTGCACGACCTTTGGTAGTCAATCACTGAATTTCACTAGGTGAATATATACTGTAGTGGAAAAAAAGACAAATATCAAGATTGATTATTCAATTTAAAAACGCAATGTTTATTGAAATATTTTGCGACGAATGGCAAAGTACAGTAGTACATTTTCTATTGTTATGTCCGCGAGTTCTTGTTTTGTTTTTTTTAAACTCGATTGATAAAAACTTATAGTCTCAGGGACCGTTATCTTCGCAGAGGGGGGTAGGTTAGGAAATACGATTACCACGGTCCTTATACGGCGTTGCGTTCCGCTGAAACGGAAGCTCCTTGAGCGTGAAATAAACTGGTACTTCCTTAACGGTCAAAGTAACAATATCTACTTCCTCTCAGCGCCAACACTGAAACTTTCACTACAACCGTAAAGTTTTCTTTTGACCTGACATGGCCACAAGTATGTTGAAATTCGAGTCCATTCACTTTCCTTAAGTCTCCTAAAGCAGACAAAACATTATAACCCGGGATAAACTTAAGAAACAACAACAAAGACATAATTTTCTGATCATCGAAGATTATTCCTGTAGTAGCTAATCTTATCGACTTTCATGTCATTCAAATAGTATGTTTGATGATTAAAATAAAGTATTCTGATTAAATTAATACACTCTGGTGTAGTTTGTTATTCAAGTTGTGGAGAGTTATTTCAGATAATATATTTTTGATAAGCACAATTAAAATAAATAATTCTTTTAATACAAAAAGTACATTTTTAAATAGTATAAATAAATAATTTTAAAATCGTTTTAAAATTAGTTATAGTGTATCGTTTAAAATATAGTATTTATGATACATTTTTATATTTTCGAAAAGTATTTAATACTCAGTTACTATAAAATTATATCGACAATACTAAAATAATAATAACATTTTGTCGTAATAATATAGATACCAGAAAAAGTCTAGATTTGCCCGACAACCTCTTCGAAGCCCTCTCTCCAACCTATGACAACACCAATAAAATAATTACATTTTTAAAACAAATTGATATGTACAACCTAATTTAAGGACCTATTATAGTATTTATGTACAAATTAAGTTAAGGAACTGTTGTTTTACCTAATTATGTAACCATATAATTCCATGTTTTGTTGCATGCTTATAACCCTAGGAGTTGAAGCTGTACTATGAATTAAAAAAAAAAAAAATAATAATAACGTTTATAATTTATTTATATAGATTTAAAAATAATTGGGAACAATTAAAACTTAACAGGTATCTATAAGTTTTATCCAAATAAAATTAAAAATAAAGTTTAAATTTAAATCCTATAACTATAACAGTGTCAATAATTGAAAAAAATCGATTCCAACAATACTATACAAATATTATTAATTTATAATTCAACAAAATAAAATAATTTGTACATCGATCGATACAATTATTTTGACAGAAATACACGATCAATATCAAGGTACTTACTCTTTTTATAAAAAAAAAAATTTTTTATTATTTTGTATTATATTGTTGACTACCGTGGTAGTCGTTGACAGTTTCTTAAACTTTACAATACATTGCCTGTTCATCTGACGTCCAGACGATATCGAATTTATATTATTAATTCCATTTAGTTTTTATATAGAATTCCGGACGAAAATATCTCTTATTTTTCATTTTCATAAAAGCAATTGTACAAGACAATAGTACAGAAATTCATTATAACGGTATTCGAGTGTATATATTTTATCCATATAGTCCGTTGGGAGAGGAATATGAAAAAAGAAAAATCCAAAAGTAACCGCCGGTCCCTTTTTAAATATTAAATACACTTCACATCCGAACCATCGTTTCTCTGAGCATTCATATTTAATAATATAAAAAATTTCTTCTTTCTGAAGCGTCAGTGTACAAGTTTTATGACCGGTGAATTCAGTTTGACAGGTTATGAAAGTGGTGGGGCACGAGTTGATGGCAGTGAAGTGAAGGGAGACCCGAGGGAAATTACGCGGGGGTCCAAATGAAAAATACCGGGAAATTCACTTAAAACAACCCAGAATATTTTATGATTATTATTAGTCTTGTTTTTTGCTCTGGTTGTTATTCTCTGGCCCAAAATAGCTTCTCCCTCGCCGTCAACGTCCATATTTTTTACGCTACTTTTACGACACAGTCCTTCCGATTAACTTTTTCCTTAACAATTTTATGACGTTTTCATCGAAAAAAATTTAACTGAATCATTTGTGGCCCCAATTTACTAAACGAATTTTTTTTAGTGTACATAAGTAAATAAAAAATAAAAATAAAATAACTATATTT